ATCCTCATCGGAAATAAATATTGCTTATCAACTGGGCTACTAACAATAGATCAAGTGTGCTTTGTAGAAATATTAAGAGACTTTTTTTCACAGCTCCTGATTTTCCACCAATGACACCTAAACCCGGTTTCTCCTCGTATCGAGAATAAGATGGTTCTACTTCTTTAGCTTATAGAATTAAATTAAGTTGCAACATTGGCTGCATCCAGAGACCCTTTGGATACTGCAAATTTCTTTAATTCGTTCTTCATAGCAATTTTCTACCATATTTATCTAGACCATCCTTTTAGAGCTTTTTTTAATATGCGAGGCCGAGTCATAGGAAAAACTGCAATAAGAGACTTGGGGCCGGCAGATTACTGGAAAATGGGCTTAAACCTTTTACACTGATACAGTATAGCACTTGATAGTGCGCACCACACTATCTAAATAAGCACGTTAAAATTGCAACAGTTAAGGCGTGATAGGAGGATATAGGAAATGTGAATAGCCCAGGACAGGATAGGAGATACCACAATTGTTTAGCACACGTTTGGTCAAAGGATCGGCTTCACTTGTCTCTGACGGGTTGTTGTGTGGTGCTAAGACTGGCGAGACTCGCTGTCGGTGCCGACGAAACGTCTGGGAATGTTCCACGTCCACGGTCAGACTTTTGAAATGATCATGCATACAATCGACTCCGGACTAGGTGCGTACCTCTAAGTCTTCCTACCAATGTGGCCAAGTTGCGAAAACAAGGTCAAACTACTTCTATACAACGAAAAGAAACTGCGACCACACAAAATGCGACACCATCTTGGTCTTCATACTTTCGAAAAAACGAATTAAGTCCGATAGGTATGCTATTTCTGTTTCAAAAATTAGGACCTGTGACAAACCTGGTCACAGCCTCTCCATTTTGAAGTAGTTTGATACTCAGCAGGGCCATTTTTGTGATTTGGGTTGATTTTTAATTAACCCATGTTTTAACTCCTATGGATGGATTTTACGTTGTAACCAATATAAATTTCTGTCTTACTAATTACTTTACCTTAATGCAGATTTATCTCAGCATAGGGGTGCAATGAACTTACTGCATGATAAATCAAAGTTAGCGATATCCGCTCAGCCAAAATATTCCATTTCTGTTTATTGGCAGATGCCTTTCTTGCTTTCTAGCACTCACTAAACTTGTTAATCACTGTTTGTTAATTTATCTATAAATTGCTTCGTGTTCTTTTTATGAATAGTGTTGTTTCGAAATCTAATTTTTATTTCGCTCTTGCACATTTTGCTTTTAACTGCGTATTAATTAATTTTATTTTTCAGGTGTACCGTTTCCCCGAGACTTTCTCGAAGTGGCTAAGGTTATCTTAAAACGGCTGTTCAGAGTTTACGCTCATATCTATCATCAACACTTCAATGTTGTAAAGGAGCTCCAAGAAGAAGCCCACCTTAACACCAGCTTTAAACACTTTATCTTTTTTACACAGGTAGGCTGGAGATTCAAACGATAATATCCATCTTTTCGGTTAAATGAGTGGATAGAACAATTTTTAACTTTAAAAATATAGAATAGGGTTGTCTTCGTTTTCGCAACTTTGTCTTGTCAGGGTGACTTAGTTTGATGCACCTAGTCCATAGTAGCTATTGCAATTCCCAATGTCAGATCGTGGACTTGGTACATTCTCATACGTTTTGCCGGCATCATCAATGATTCTTGTCATTCTCAGAAATTTTCCGTGATCTTCATAAAGGAACTTGAGTCAATCTATTTGTGGTTTGACCTCGTTTCCGCAAACTGTTCGTGATGTCAAAGCAATCAAGATAAACGAATTTTCTCCTGAACCCTCCGCAACATGCTTGCCTAATCGACAACCTTACTATAAATGTGATTTAATTTCCGATGGGTGGGATGCCCGGGACTTGCCAGGAACAGTGATAGTCATAACAAGGTCAACGAGTTACAGCTTGATGCTTAAAAACAGCCTCACTGATGATGCCGACTACAATGCCGACAAAACGTCTGAGAATGTACCTAGTCCATGGTCTGATGCTGGGAATTATGATATCTGCTATAGCAGAGGACTTCGGGCAAGGTGCGTCCATCTAAGTCTCTCTGACAAAAAGACCAAGTTGCGAAAACGAGGTCAACTCACTTATATACATCAAAAGGAGATTGCGACCATACCATCTTGGTCTTCATATCTCCTATTTATAAAATATAGTTTATTGAAGTTTATTACCTGTTAATGTTACAATTTTGACACTTATCTTTGCTACTTTTAATGTAGCTATTTCGTTTTTCGCGTGTCACAAAAAAATTCACTTTATAGCTCGTCACTTGAATATAAATGCTGATTTACTGTCATTTCTTTTGAAAATATTTCAAGTCAAGACAATATTGAAAAATATTTTTCCTTCGAATTTTGATATGAATTATATCTCGAAAAAGTGGTATACAAATAGCCAGGCTCAGTGCCGATTCCTCTAGGTCGGAGCGTGTCAAAATGGGTTTATCTAATGGCTAATCTAGGATTCTCAGATTGTGTTAACAATACCAACTTGTCAATAAGCAATTCCACTTGATTCATTTATTATGGTGCATGATTCGGTCTAGAAAAATATGAGATGAATACATCTCATATTACTGATTTACTGGTAGTCTCGAAACTCTACTTTCATACAAAAATAAGTAATGTAATCGATTGATACAGCAAAAATACGTTTGCTTTATCGACATTCCCACTAAAGAATGTGATATGGGGAAAGGCCTGACATTTCTTGAAATTGACATCTGCCCTGTGATCAAAGAGCACTCGTGGCCGAGTGGTTAACATGTCAAGCTCACATACTGCACTGTCACGGTTCACCTCCCGCTGGGAATGTTGATAAGACCTATGCGAGGTCGAAACTGCAGTCCACCATGGATGTGAACAACTTTTGGGAAAGCAAGGCTATGTGAAATTCAATGGAAACTTCAGCTCTACTCATATCACTGTGGAAAAATTCTATTACCAGTCCTTCATCACCTTAAACGAAATAGGGTGAATACATCTCATATTAGAAAAATATCATTCGATGTATTTCTTCTTTTACTTAATCTCATTATGCATTTATTGCATCGTTCACGTTTAATAGTTTTCATAAAGTCTGAAAGCTCTCGAAGAAGTCCGTTTTAGCGCATGATATTACATACCTGAGATAAGTTCAATCTCTTGTTTTATTTTGATTGGTTCTAGCCCTCAAATTTTTAGATGGCTGACTTTAAAAAAAGATTTATTTGGCATGGCCTCATTTATTAAATTTTCTAAGAATCATTCTCCGTCTGCTTTTTAGAATCTGGTTGCTTTTGTGGGCTTCCTACCAGCTACCGTGTTTCTACCACATAATTGCTTGCATACACAATGATAATACCATGGCTTCTTATCCTTAATCTCCCAAATTTTGCAACGTCAGATTTATATCGCAAATAGTTTTAGGGGCGTTTGTTGTACTATAGGAAGCTATAGACTATCACTTTATCATTACATCTCTAAATGAAACGCTGATTTTTTTCTATTCCTTTTCGGAACTTATGTAGGAGTTTGACCTGGTCCAAAAACGAGAACTTGCTCCTTTGCAGAAGCGCATTGATTTGCTATGTGGCAGCCCTCGTGCTGAGCTTCCATTGTCGGGAGAGCCAGGTTCTGAACCAGTTGTTGGCCGTTTGCCTTTTCAGCAGTCACCTACTGTTGGGCAGATGTCGCCTAATCTTACTTCCGCTACTAGCATTGACAGTAACATCATCGGCATCACCAACAGTCCAAACTACACTGACAACCTTGCCGAGAAAACGCCTGGCAACATTACGATCACCATGGCTAAGATACCTACGACAGTCTCGACTTCCGCTACTCCCTCCTCTGTCTCATCTAGCTATACTTCCACGCCGACCATCGCCTTCACCCCCATCGTCTCGAACCCCTGCGCAAGCGTCAATTGCGTTTCGAATCATCCGTCCACTGGCTACAACCACCCTAGCTGCGGAGTTCTACAACATCCACACCATTTTGACCACCCTCCCCCTAATCACAACCAACACTTGCAAAACCTCCAACAGCAACAATATTTGCAACAGCAGCAAATTAGACGGAAATAATATTCGCTTAGCTGGTACTGCTGACACCTTGTAACAGCACGATTTAATGGCATTATTGATCAAATTTACATTTACCAAGCTATTGTTCATATAATTCTAAGCATGATCTTCACTACTCCACCGGATTTGACCCATATTAATCGTGTTTTTTAATGAACAGCTTTTTCAGCCATCATATTCTATATTGTAAACTGCCAAAGAATTCTGAAGGCTAAATTTTCGTATCATCCCGATCTTCATTACTTTTACAAGAATTGTTGCTCATATCGTTTACTCAAATAACATATGCCGCAATCCTTTCAATAATGATACTAGGGTCAGCATCTGACTAAGAGGTTTCCCCGTAATTTGCGGCACTATCCAATGCCATGAACAACGGCAAAAGCAACTACTTATTACACTTGTATTGCCATAAAAATGATTTCGATTTTCTCAATATTACTTAAATTCTTTATCACTCGCCATTTTTACTTGTATGCATCTTCACTACTCCAAATGAAGGTGAGCTAAGATAGTTTCAGATCACTCTAGAGCATCTGGAAGTATATAACTTCTATGTTCTTCTATTGTGAATGTCAATGCTCATTTGCCTCTTAATTCTCCTTTAATGTCGCCAAAATGTTTTGTTATATATGCCGATACCATTGCAGTATTGACGGTTACTTTGATACGTGAATTTCATGAAATGTCAATCAAACAACGCGTCATTGTGACACTTTTCTACTTTATCTATGATTTATAGTTGCCAAACCAAGCATCTGATAACTGGCTCCCTTTGTACGAACAATTCGCGAAATATTTAGATTAATCTAGACGATGATATTCCCCAGTTATTCTGGTCTCCGCCTTTCGTCCGATTAGATTTGTCTCGACAGTCTTGCTTTTATTCCTTCATATCAACTACCATGTCTCCCTTAGTAAAGGTTACCACCTGATCTATGCTTATCCCCCCACCTCCATCTTTAGATCATCATACCCCCACTTAATTTCCAATCAATGGCCAATGTATTGTTATTGAGGTGAATCTAACTATAATATTCATATATCTTTGCGTGAAGACTTGTCAACTTTTAAAAAATTTCCCACTTGAAAGATTTCATAACTAGTTATCTGTAATTATTTGAAACTTCTCTCATTCTAACAAAATTCAACCGCTTATAATCCCCATTCCTTATATAGGGCATGATGAGACACAGATACTACTGTGTACTGACTCCCCCACATGTGTATGCGTTTAGCATTTCAAAGCAAATCCTCATCATCAATTGCCATTCCTAAGCAGGTAATCTGAAGTCGATTGATGCCATTTTTAACTTTTGCTCCCTATTTGCTAGCTCCACTCACTTTTTTGCACTTTACTTATTTTCATTTGATATGATTTTTGTCTTATTAATTTTTTTCCCAGTTTCACCCTCATTTTTCTAGCAGTAGGCTTCTCTGTGCCACTATTAGCAGAGGTAGTCACGCTGCCATCATAACTCCAAAATAGCTGGCTTGTGTATTGCCGACACGAACCGTAAAAGTATATATTTGCTACACCTTTGTGTCTTTCTTCATCTTATACAAAATTTGTATTTTGTAAATATTACCTATTGACTTCCAAGTATATATACATATATATATTTATTTATATATGGAGATTCGATAGTGGACAGTTTCGATGTTTTCTTACAATTGTAAATAAGTATCCATCTGCTAACCCAACCCAGATATCATGCCTTTTACTTCTCCGATTGCCTTCAATATTACACATTCTTTCTAATCAGTCCGCATTTTGTTGCAACATCTATACTTTTTATTTTTTTATGGATAACTAATTTAGTCCTGCCTCTGAATCACATGATTATGGAGATGGCATTCGTAAGGATGAACTTCACCGATCTATACAAGCTGATTAAGCCTATATCTCTCTGAATTTGACTAAGATGTTTTTGCACTTAATATTAACGCAGCCAAACAGATATTATCTACCAATCGACACGTGTATCTATAAGAAACCCAACCGAATGTGTAGGACCTTTTCTAAGACTTATCTCTGATGAAGAAATCGTGCATGCTTTAAGAACCTGGGCAATATTTCTGTATCTGCCCTTCTTTTGGCCGATGCTCTCTACACTCGGAACCAACAGATGGACAATGAAGCTACTTCTAAGTCGATCTATTTTCAGGAGGTAATCATTGTCATGCTTTACCCCAAAACGGGATAAATTCCCTTAGTATCTCAAGAGTTCTCTGAATCGGACAGCCCTCAGAAAAACAGCTCACTCTCTATTATGTAGTTTTCCTTGCAAGAAAAGTATGTTTTACTGGTTAGCTCATGCTTAGACGCTTGACTCATTTGTTGACGGAGCCTCTTTCCCGGAGAATAGTTAGTTTGGACACTTGATGAAGAGTCGTTATGATGCCCCCTGAAAATAGGAACCAGACTTGACCTTTTACCGCGCATTATTCCAAAAAGATAGGTTTATATGCCACAGATCTTGATTTCAACTTTACCAGATGCATCTACTCGGACTAGCCATCTACTTTCCTCTCAATTACGAACCATTTAGAGAAGAGAGACAGGCCCTATTCGAGAACCTAAATTTGAGTTGTAATTGCACGTAATAGTTGAGAAAGCCTTTATTGGTGGTGGTACACTACATTAAACGTTTCCACGAATTAGATGCTTTCCAATAGTGGACACAGGAGACGTCGGGTTACTAAGTCCAGGTAAATCACTAAAAGAATGCCGCTTAGTCTTATCCTCGATGCGAAACATTGCTCGCGTCATGCTTATGCCAGAGATTATTCCTATCAGCTCCACTTTAACGTGGAATTTACGCACTCAATTTTCAGAAAATAATGTAGGGGTTCCCGAATGCATTATTTGGAATACTTTTCATTTACTATTTACACACATTTCTTACACTCTTTGGACGATTATCTGTTAGAGTATACTTGTAGATAGGAAAAAAAAACTGGGTTTCGATTAATCTCCTGAAAGTGCATGAATAATATATTCGTAGATGGATCCCATCTGAAAAGAACGGATGAATCGCGTTGTATTACAGCCATTTGGCTATTACACGACGTTCAGGTTTACACAGTCCACTAGACCTCCCTCATTTCGGATGGAAACGGGCTGAGCTTTGTCCATCATACGATGGACATCATCAGAGCTGGGTCTCATTCCTGTAGAAGTCTCACGTTAACATTCCATCAAGAAGACTATCCGGCTCTATCTTAACTCTTATAGAGACTCAATTAAGCAAAAGAAAATTAAAAACCTTGGTAGATATAAAGCCTTTTGGCTAATTATCTTTCATACTGGTTCTACTGCTTTTGCGTATGCATGTTAGCATCTATAGGCAATACCGGTCCTAAATCAGAGTTATTAAAAAAGCTAATATCACGCTCTGGTCATCAAGGCTTAATGACTCATGAGGGCCCTGACCGAGACTGCGTCAGTCCGTAAGCGAGCATGGTTGAGATAATGAGATGTAAGCTTATAAGCATGTAAGTCAAGCTACGAAGCCACTTGCCCTAACCTCTCAATCTAGGGGCATTAACCACCCGAGGAAAGGAACGACTAGGGCTTCGCAATCTGGCATGTGTGGTTTGGGTGATGAGCTGAATCTAGAATGTTGGAAAATTGTGAGTAAAGTTATAACCATCACTGCCAACCAGTTGAGTCGCCTTTTTTTGGATGGCGCACATACGCATACACTCGAGCAAAAGTAGCAGGACCAGTAGGAAAGATAATTAACTAAACCACTCTATATCATTTTATATAGGTTTTTAATTTTATTTTGGCTTAATTGAGTCTATATACAAGGTAAGATAGAGCCGGAATGTCTTCTTGACTTAATGTTTGTTGGCGTGAGACTTTTACAGAAATGACTCCCTTTTCTGATAATGAATAGCTCATTGAAGAGGAATGTTTGTACCTAGACACAACATTAAAACTTATTAGCCTATTCTAATGTGAAATTATCTGTTGATCAATCAATTTCATAAAATTATAAGAATTTTCAAATTGAATATAGTCAAAAATGGGCAGATTTCATTAGTTGTACGCATAAAAAACGTGAGATTTTATGCATCACGCTTCCTTTATTATTTACACTTAATCTTAGGGGACATCTTCTTTGTCAACAATGGAAATGGTAAAGAATAAGTTCTTATCCTTTCTGTATGTTCTCATTATTAGAGAAGATGATGTACATCATTTTATAGACGACATCTCAGCCCGTATTCACCAGAAACGAGGGAGGAAGTCTCATGAACTGCGCCAACCTAAACGTCGTATAAAAGCCAAACGGCTAAAGTACAACGCAAATCATCCGTCCTCTTCTGGTTAGATCGACCTAGGAATCTCTTCTTCATGCACTTTCATACGAAATGAAAGTATACTTGGACAGATTAGCAATAAAGCCGATGTGGTGCTTATAACATGAAATATGATTGAGACTTCGACAAACGTTCTGCCAAAAACGGTTACCCTATCACTCTTCTTTCTGTCTTGGCCTATCTATACACTCTTCATCCTCTTATCCCCTGCCGCCACATCACAACTTCTCATTTGTTTACATTCCACTCGTCGAAATGTGCTCCCTTTGGTGGCAAATCTAGTGTGGCCTCATCACACTTGCTATTCCCCCCGACTCCTCTCATTCGATCGGCTGATCCGACTCGGGCCTCCAATCCGGGTCTCTCATCGTCCCGTAGATCCGTTCATTTTCTTTCTGGATGACCGATTTCACTCGGTTTCAGTACTCCCTAGAAGCGCGTACACTGCCGCTTCACTGAGCAGAGCGCCTAAGCTCTGATTGCCATGCTTGCAGATATCAGACCTTCCCTTCAGGGGTCGTCTCCTTGATTAAACCCATGTTATCTCAGCAAACTGTGGACGTCCTGACAACAAGACCAAGTTACGACAACGAGGTCAACCCACTTGTATAAATTGAAAGGAGACTGCGACCATACCAGAGGCCGCAACTTCTTCGTCTTCATATCTTCAATTTACACCTTTAGATTAATGTTGGAGCACTTTTTATTTCGTTTAAAGAGACAAATGCCATAATCAGCAAAACGAGAAGTTTGAAACCATTCAATCTCGTGTCCCGTACATACAGAGACAGACACACTCCCAGGCTCCGAGGCGGACCTATGACCGTAACTAACCTAATCACCGTTTACCTAATCAAAGACGCTAGATATAGAGTATACATACAGCTTTTTAGAAACTTTCTGATGAGTTTTCACTCGTTAGCTTGAATTCCGTTGTGACGATAATACCTTGCTCTGATGATGTTCTCACAAGACGGACGAAAGCTTAGCATCTTATCACCGGAATCGAAGGAGATTGCCTCGGAAACAGCGTTAGCATGAATGTTCCAGTAAAGCCCATCGACAGTTGGTCAAGAGGAATCGGCCGTCGTCTTCTAGTGGAACCGAGCTTTGAATCTCTTCACGCAACATTTTCACTCGAAATGGAAGTAAGCTCAACAATTATAAAACGAGAGATTCCTCGAAACCCAATCTTTCTTCGCATATTCTTCTCACTTCTTCAGCAGAGAATAGGCATAACTTAAAAAGAGCCTAATTGCTCGAAGATTGAGTCTCGATTCAATGTGGCAATATAGGACGTTTATTCGAGTAGATGAGGACCAAGAAGATATGCTCTTTGGTTTGGCCCC